CCAAGGACCCAGGATCCCTTCCTTCTGGCTGGTGGCTGTCCTATCTCACCTGACCCGCCCCTCCTCCAGTTGGCGCAGGCGGGTATCTCGTTTGAGAACATCAGCGATGGCCTCCTGCTCCTCCTCTGTCAGGAAGCTGAGGTCCAGCAATCCCTCAGCTTCAGATTCTGGCCCATGTGCCATGGGGAGGGGGGGCAGGGCCCAAAGCCTCTCCTGAGATGTGTGGCCTCTCTGGGGCATCAGCTGGGGTTGTGCCCCAGCTGGGCATATGTAGCTTCCTGGGGGATAGACCAAGGGTCAGTGTCTTCTCAGATACACAGCACATCCAAGAACCAACTGCCTGTTTTCTCCCAAGCACACACCTGAGTAATAAGGAGCAATCAAAGGAAGGCCAGGTCAAGGTGAGGTGGGGTGTGGGGGATACACTCAAAGAAGGCTACAGAACACGTATGCACATACCCCTAAGAACACATGGAGAACTGCAAGCCAGTACACACTGATACATGTACCCACTGTTCTACACACAGTCATTCGGGAACAAGGATACCTGGACAAAGACAGGCAATGTACACACATCCCCATGACAGGAGTGTGCACACATACACAAGAGACCGAGCCCAAGGGCTGCGCACAGTAATTCTTAAACCTGCACACAGTGTGTGCACACAAAGGAGACAAGCACCCACTCAGGTACAAGAATAAGTCCCTGAATATCCACAGATCTCTCTGGCCTTCCTCACACACACTGCCCATTTAACCCGGCTGTGACCTCCTTGAAGCCAAGGACCGCTCATTCCCCACAAAGTCAGTACTTTGCACACAACATAACCTGATTCTTAATGAAATGCAAAAATATACCTGCACAAACATGTAAGTGCACACCCAGCCTTCTCCACCACTCATGCTTATACCCCTACCCAGGGAGCCTCCCAACCCAGCCTGCCTCTGCCTTCGCCTCCCTCCACCCCGCCCTGGCCCATTTGGCCTTCCTGTCTGAGGCAACCTCCTCCCCAACCCTCACCCCCAACTTCCTCCCCCCCGCAAGGTAACCGCAGCACCCAATTCCACTGAGGCCACCCGCCCTGGGATTCCCCGACAACAGCCCATCAGCCCTGCCCTCTTGCTTGGAGATTTCTGAGCCCCTCTGATTACAGGGCCTCCCCAACCCCCAAACTTGGCTGGAGGCCTCAGCTGGCTAAACAACTCATGCCTAGGCACCACAGCCACTCCGGAAGGAAAACATTGCCAGCTGAGAGGGGCGTGTGGACGTGGCAAGGGCCCAGCACTCAGAACTGGCGCTGGCCTGGGCCCACTGGGCACTCTCTCCTCTCCTTCCCACCCCTTCCATGCCAGGCCTCCAGGTGGGGCTGAAGTGGGACTAGAACAGCTCAGGGGCGGGTTCTGGCTTGTGCCTGTCTCCTCCTGCCCCTGCCGACTCCCGGCTGAGTCAGTGTCCAAGCATAGAAAGCCAGCCTCCTCTCCTACCCTGCTTTCCCTCTGGGGGTTTCTGTACATCTGCATCTCCATAGCCCTGGGCAGATGCCTGTACACCGACAGTGACTATTTCCCTGAATGGCTGTGCTCGAGGTGCGTGCTACGAAGCCAGCTTGGGACTCTCCTGTGGCACGGTGGCTGAGCATTGCTGTGTTGTGTTAACTGCTGAGTTAACAGGGTAGACATGTCTGCATCTAACACGGAACCAAAGTGCTGTGTTGTTGTGTAACTATGCCTTACAGGGTGGGGTGGGGGGCGATGGTAAGTGCAGTGACTTTCTGGGAGATAGTGCCGTGTGGGTGTATGCATTTCTTCCTGTGTGGTTGGCCAGCTCAGGCAATGTTGTGGTGTGTATCTAGAGCCCCGGGGACCACCCGATGTGTCTGTGTGTGAAGGTGGAGGGACATTTGGCAGAACTGGGCCTGGCCTTGTCTTACAGGTCTGCTTGGTCTGGGCTGTGAGCCTCCAAGCCCGGGTTCTCTCTACCTCAATTTCCCTCTCTTTGAGAAGCAGGTCAAGTGCCTGGTGCCCCTACCCTGTACTAACATCATGGGACAGACCCTTTGGTGATACAAAAAAAAGTATGTCAATCTGCCTGGGCAGGCCAGAGTCATAAACTTGCTCGAACTTCCCCCACCCCAAGCTCCCAAGGTGCCAGAGTATGCTCAGGACACCAGGTGGCAGTGCCCACCCCTTAGACCACTGGCAGGGGAGGTGTGTTACCTGTAGGGGTCCGGAAGGGAGGACAACCTCCAAAGCAACTCCAGCTCTCCAGGAAGGCGTTTCAGAGCCCAGAAGAGCGGTGGGGACTAAAGCTGACTCGCCCAGCTGCAGCTGCCCCAGCCCTGAGGAGGTGGAGGAGGAGGAGACACCTCGGCAGGGCCTGGTGCAAAACCGGGCCTGGACTGCAGCTCCCCAGGTGCACTGGTGCAGCCACAGTGCTGTCAGGGAACCCAGGGCCAGGTGTGCGGGCCCCTGTGGCTGGGCCCAGCTGGACTGTAGATTTATCCTGTAACTGAAGCATGCCTCACCTGCAGAGCTAGCTCGGGGCCTTGGCTGGCCCATCTGTGGACTGGGTAGCAGAGCCGTTCTGCCACAGAGGGCCAACCAGAAACTCTTGGGAAGCAAAGTTAGAAACTTTTCTAAGAACTACAGAAACGGGAAGATGAGAGAGTTGCCACTAGGCAACCTAGGCCGGAGTCCTGGCTCCAGCACCATAAGGCTTTGAGCAGGTGTCTTAACCCCTCTGAGCAATCATTTCCTTCTACGCAAACTGGAGAGTGGAACCCAGAGACATACAGGTGGCACACAGGTGCCTGGTACAGATGGCATGTCGTAGGTATGTGCCAGGTATCCTCTCTCCAACAGACCAATGCCCATGGCCATTTTAGCACCTGAGCATCCATGTTCACAGAACCATCCATGTCTCCTCTCACCCCCAGGGTGTTTGAAGGGCCCCGGATTCCAGTGCCAGCCGAGGAGCCCAAATTCTCACCTTCGAGTACACATCCTGCTCAGGAGAATCTATTTTGGGTCTCAGAGTCCATGGCTTTTGGGATCATGATGTTCTGCAGCTATCCACATTCTGGTCTTAGACACTAGAGGTCACCTCTATGCTTTTGTGTGTATAAAGCTTTGACTACATATATGTGTGTAAAACACACGAGTGCCTGGTGCCCAAGGGAGCCAGAAGAGGGCGTCAGACTCTGGAACTAGAGTTATAGATGGTTGTGAGCCACCATCCTGCAAGAGCAACAGGTGCTTTTAAGTGCTGAGCTCTCTCTTCTATCTCTCCCGTGCCCCCCCCCCCGCGCCTCCCCCTTCCCCTTTTTTTTTGAGACAGGGTCTCTCTGTATAGCTCTGGCTGTTCTGGAACTTACTCTGTAGACCAGGCTGGCCTCGAACTCAGAGAGATCTGCCTGACTCTGCCTCCCAAGTGCTGGGATTAAAGGTGTGCACCACCACCTGACCTTTAGCCCCCTTTAAAAGTTTTGGTTGTTTTTTTTTTTTTTACATTTTATCTGTGTGCATGTGGAGTTCAAAAGACCTCACAGGAGTCTCCTCTCCTTCCACCTTTCTGTGGGTTCGAGGGATCGAACTCAGGCCGTCAGTCTTGGCTGTTAAGTGCCCCAACTCTGAGCTTTGTCGGTCTTCAAGCTTGCTTGCTTTTAAATGTTTTTGTGTATGGGTGTTCTGCCTGCGTGTATGTTTGTGCATTAGAGGTGTGCTGCCTGGTGCCTGTGGAGGCCAGAGGCGGGCACTGGACCCCTTGAACTGGAGTTACAGATGTGAGGTACCATGTGGGAGCTGGAATCCGTCCTCCGGAAGAGCAGGCAGTCTTTGCTAATTGCAGTCGCCCCTCCAGCCCCACTTTCTATGGATTCATTTTCATTTTGGTTTGATGGTTGTGAGCCACCATCCTCTGGAGAAACAGTCAGGGCTCTTAACTTGTGAGCTACCGCTCACCCTCTGACTTGTTTCTGCCAGTCTTATTTTCAGTTTCTTTTTCCTTATCTAAGTTGGTTGATAATCATTTTTGGTTTTCACCACTATTGAGTGACCCCCGATTCTCAGATAATACATGTACAGGGATGGAGGCAGCTCAGGGAAAGCATGCATGGATATGTGCTTCCACGGTGTTCCTTGTGGGAGTGGTCATCCCGGTGGCCACCTGCACCCTCCTCTAACCTCCCAGCACCCCTGGAAGGTATCCAATCTTGCCTGTTTTCAGGCCCAAGTGTCTTTTCTAGGTGAGCTCTGCTGACTTTTGGGCCTCTTGCTTCCCCTGAACTTGGACAAGTCACGTGGGTGCCCATTTCTTCATCTGCCACATGGGCCTGATAGTGTCTGTCTTACAAGGCTGTTGGGAGGTTCCATGCCCGCAGCTCTGTAACAAGGGCCAGTAAGGAGGAAGCGTTTGAGTGCTGGGGGTGGAACCCAAGGCCATGCTCGACAAGGGCTGTCAGAGTCACAGGCTCTCCTGGAAACAGCCTTTAAGCTGGGCTTTGGTGGAAAGCAAAGGGTCAGAGTTGAGTACACACTGGTATGTGGTGAGGAACGTGGAGAACCCTGGCAACCATAGAAAGAGGAACCAAGGAGCAAGCTAGTCAGTGACATGATTGTGGGGTAAGCATGGGGACCTCAACATGGCCACCATACACACACGGCCAAGGGCTGCCATTCCTCTTGGCTCACTCCAGCTGTGCACTGAGGCTGAGGATGCAGGTCACTCCCAACTCCAATCCTATTGCCAAGTTTTTCCCAATAGGGAAGATGGAAGATTTCCTTCTAGAAGGAAATTGGGAACACAGACCAGGAATGGCAGGGACTTCCCACAGCCTATGCAGCAGCAGAATTTACAAAATGTTGATGTGCCCCTAAGTTCCAGTTGGAAAGACTCGGCCATGTTGTTAGTAATCAGTCTCTTTGCCCCAGGACCCAGGGATATATGAGCTTAAGGAATCCGGGGTGCGGAGGGGCAGAAGAAGAAAATGACAGACACCACCTGGACTTGAAACTTTATTTCCTGCCAGGGAGCCCCTTATAAAGGAGCAGGGGGTGAGGCGGGCTGCGCAGGGCCCACTGCAGCAACCGGAAGTAGAGCCAGCCGATCCACGGTGCACCAGCTGCTCTGGGGTTACTCACACTGTGGACATAAGGGGTTCTATCCCTGGGCTGGAAACAAGTGGGATTCACCTTACCTGATTTACAGGGGACCCACTCTGCACCTAAGGCCATTCACCTTGCTAGCCAGGGCCCAGATGAGGGGCGATGGGGTACACACTATGCTAGCACGGCTCTAGAGACATGGGAAGAGCCTAGACAGCCCTTCGAGTCCGGTCTAGGCCAGCAGAGAAGGAAGGTTCCAAGTCTCTTGGCTCACAGCACTTCTCAGAACACCACACCCCACTTCGGGACATGACAACCAGCCAGAAGCAGCTTCAAATCCAGCTCTGCCCACCGTGTCCTCACCGTGTCCTGGGCACGGCACAAGCAGCCCAGTGGCTGTGGCAGGAAGCGCTCGAAGGGAAGGTCTTCCCAGGACAGCAATGGGGATGCCACAAGGGTGAGGTCCCAAGCCCAGGGAGAGGACAAGGAGGCTCTAAGTGGCCTCATCTCACACTGTACCTCAGCACTTCCATCCCAAGCCCTGACCCTACTTCCAACCCAGGAAGCTAACTGTCTGAGGGTGGCGACAAGAGAGCTGGGACCGGGGTGGTGGCAGGGCCTCCCTGGGGGCCCTCACCGCAGAACTGGGACCAGGGTGGTGGTGGGGCCTCCTTGGGGGCCCTCACCGCAGAACTGGGACCAGGGTGGTGGTGGGGCCTCCTTGGGGGCCCTCACCGCAGGTTGAAGATGAGACTGACGGTCAGGATGATGCCCAGGAGAAGGACAAAGGGCAGCCAGGTCTTCACGAAGGCGCCAACACTGACGAGAGAGCACAGGGGCACGGTCAGTGAGCAGGCCGACGGCCCAGAATGCCCTCCTCCCCCAACCCTGACAGGGCTTAGGTTCCTAGGAGGCTCCTGGAACTTACTCCTCAGTTTGGTCAGCCAAGGGACAGGGCCTGATGCCTACTATGGAGGCCATGGAAGGAAGCAAATGTACAGAGTCTCAAGCCTGGCTCTGTCTCGATGTTCTTTTCTAGGGGAAAAGCAGGCCCCTAAGAATTTCCCTTCCAGAAGCTCTTAATGATGAGCACAATTAAGAACGAAGTTGGGAGCTGGAGAGATGGCTCAGCGGTTAAGATCACTGGTTGTTCTTCCAGAGGTCCCGAGTTCAATTCCCAGCAACCACATGGTGGCTCACAACCATCTGTAATGAGACCTGGTGCCCTCTTCTGGCCTGCAAGCATGCATGTAGGCAGAACACTGTACACATAATAAATAAATCTTAAAAAAAAAAAAATGATTTAAAAAAAATGATTTAAAAAAAAAAAAAGAACGAAGTTGGGGGGCAGGGGATCAGCTCAAATGTGAGATGGTTCCTAAGTCTGGGCTCTGCTGTGGGACACAGAGAACTCACCACCCTGAGTTCTCTCAGTGTGAACTGGGATAAATGTCTTAAATCTCACAGGTCACGAGGCTGTGGCTTCAAAGGGCTGTCTAGACTAGGAGCTCAACTGTCCAGAAGCCGGCCTCTGACAAAGGAAAGGGTCGGGGGCTGAGGAGGGGGAAACACTATCCATGAGATGTGTTCATCTCAACACCCGGAGACTCAGAGCTTCCCCAGGAGCCAGAACCACAACAGCCCTTATCAGGGACGGCTGTAGCCCAGAAGCAGCTACCCAGAACCTCGCAGGGAGCAAGTGAAGGTGACCTGGAACCCGTGTGGAGTTGGACGTTGGTAGAGCCACCCTGCCCCCCACCAGGAACTCGGTCGCTCTGGAGTAGAACCTCAGAGTCTGTTCCAGTTGTCCCCGGTGACTGAAGGACTCCAGTGACAGTCGTTCCAGGATCCTTGGGAGAGCGGCCTGGGGGAGCCTGCAGGTGTGAAGACAGCTCACCTGACGTACTTCCCGTAGATCAGGCAGAAGAAGCAGAGCGTCACCATGTTCCAGTTGGTACTGTTGTTGTAACGCATCAGGTTCAGGGCCAAGGCCACGTGAGAGTGGCAGTTGTCACAGCAGAGATTGTGCTGGAGACACAAGAGCAGCTGGGTCAGACCGCGCTGGGGGGAGGGGAGCCCCGCCCCCCGCCCGTTCCCACCTACCATCCGGTGCTTGTACTCCTCAGAGGCGTCGTGCACAGCTGTGTCCCACGCATTGGGGCCACTGGCGTATACCTGGGCGGGGTCCAATTTCCAGAACCTGAAGGGAAAAGGGAATGTTCTGGGACTGGCTCCGCCCCTTTGGGGCCTTCCAGCTTTATGAATGCTCTCTGTGTGGGGTGCCTAAGGCTGTGGGGTGAACCAGGTCCAGGTCTAGTGTGGTGTGGCTCTTTCCTCCCAGTTGAAACATTCTCTTCTGGAGGGAAGCAGGGAGATCCTGAGACTTGGGAAATAAAGACTCACGTGGCTCAGGAAACTCCTACAACAAAACTGTCAAGGCCCTTCCTTCCCCAGGGTCTACAAGTTGGAGCAGCTGGTGGGAAGAGACTCTGAATGCCCAGGTGCCAGCGTGACATGCAGGAAATGCAGGAAATGCAGGGATACGCACGCCTCATGCGCTGCGCCCACCATGTGAACTTTTCTGGGAGTCAGCTGACTGACTTTGGGACACTTGCACTCCTGTAAGTGACCCCAGTAAATGCAGGCTCATGAAGCTCCATTTGGGTACAATCAGTGTCCAATTTGTGGTGAATGACAAGTCTGTTCACATCTCTCCAAGAAGTGAGACAATTGTGACCCGGCAAGACCGCCAGTGCCGCGATGGCTCCTGGGAAGACGCGGACGAGTCTAGAGTGCTGTGTGGTCCGAATGTTTGTCCCCTATTTTTTTTTTCTTCTTTTTTTTTTTTAGTTTTTCAAGACAGGGTTTCTCTGTGTAGTCCTGGCTGACCTGGAGCTCACTCTGCAGACCAGGCTGACCTCGAACTCACAGAGATCTGCCTGCCTCTGCCTCCTGAGAGCTGGGATTAAAGGCGTGTGCTGCCACCGTCACAGGCTGTCCCCCTATTCTTTTTTTTTTTTTTTTTTTTTTTGGTTTTTTGAGACAGGGTTTCTCTGTGTAGCTTTGCGCCTTTCCTGGAACTTGCTTTGTAGACCAGGCTGGCCTTGAACTCACAGAGATCCGCCTGGCTCTGCCTCCCGAGTGCTGGAATTAAAGGCGTGCGCCACCACCGCCCGGCCCCCTATTCTTATGCTGAAATCCTAACCTGAGGAACTCCCTTCTGAGTGGGGTCAGTGACCTTAAAAGATAGGCCCCCTCCACTCTTTCATCACGCGTGGGTACAAGGAGGCCCTGTGGCCCCAGTGAGGCACTGAGTGTACCCGTACTCTCTTCTCGGCCTTCCTACTCTCCGAGCTGAGACATTTGTGTTGTGGAGGAGCCACCCACTCAATGGCATTTTGTCATGGCAACCTGAATGGATGAAGACAGAGGGAACACCTGAGTCTAGGCTGATGGAAGAGGGGTTCGGTCAGCACTGGGGGCTGTGGGAACAGCTTGATGGAGGAGGGAAGCATAAACTGTACGGCGTGTCCCAGAAATAAGTGACTGAGCAGTCCTGGAGGACTCAGGAGAGAACAAGGTGTGGGGAATGAACGGGCAGCTGAGGAGGGGGCGCGGATGTCACACTGAGGTGGTTTACCCAGCAGCAGCGTCTCCCCAACTCAGCTGGCGAGAGTGGGAAAGAAAGTGGCAGAGCGAAGCCCTGAACACCAGGCAGGTCAGAGTGGCGGCTGGAAGTAGCAGAGGCCCCCCGGTGACCTCAGGCAGAAGTGTGTGTGTGTGTGTGGGGGGGGGGGGGGGCAGGCACAGCGACAGGGGATCACCAGTGGTCGTGGCAGGAAGAAACCACCAGGGCCTGGACTATGGGGCTCAGGGGCTCCTGCTTGGAGCAGGTCATCTTTAAAACTGCCTTTGGAAATACGAAAATTAAACAACTAAAACACTCTGAAAAAGAGCCCAAAGAAACCCCCAGAACTATATCTCCACCTGCCTGAGGAAGCCAGAACAGGGAGCTCTGCTCCAAGATACTTCGTCCAGCAGCTTCCTGGCTAGCTTTGGGCCACAGGACACCTGCTGTAGTTCTGACGCACTGTCACCAGGCCCAGAGTTACAGGAACCACCCAGGGCTGAAGTAATAAATAAAGACAAGGCCTGGAGAGACGCCTCAGCGGTTAAGAGCACTGGCTGCTCTTCCAGAGGTCCTGGGCTCAATTCCCAGTACCCACACGGCAGCGCACAACTGTCTGTAACTCCAGTTCCAAGGGCACACCAATGCACATAAAATAAATAAATAAATAAATAAAAGGAAGAAAAGAAATAAAGACAAGTCTGACTGAAACTTTGCTCGCAAAGGGCCTGTGCAGCTTTCACGCCCTCCAAGCGGAGCTGCAGTGGAATCCCAAGCAGCCTCCTAATCCTAAATGGCCTGCTTGTTCCCCAGGGTGGAAGGACTCCAGGCTACACAGAAAGACAGACTTGCCAGGCAGTGGTGGCGCACGCCTTTAATCCCAGCACTCGGGAGGCAGAGCCAGGCGGATCTCTGTGAGTTCAAGGCCAGCCTGAGCTACAGAGTGAGTTCCAGGACAGGCGCAAAGCTACACAGAGAAACCCTGTCTCGAAAAAAACCAAAAAAAAAAAAAAAAAAAAAAGCAGATTTGGCTGTGTAGAGGCGGCTTTGATGCTTCCTTACTGTGTGACCTTGCCTGAGTCCCATCCTTTTCCGTACTCCTGTGCCACAGAGTTGAAAACACAACCTCCCTGAACTGAGGCAAGACCTGGACGGTCTACAAGATGAGGTCCAGACAGGCACTGACACACGAGATGCTTGGTACAGGGCACTGTGTCCTAACGGGCTCTAACTGTCCTCGGGGTGCTGGCTCCTGCTGCGTCTCACAGGGTCTGGCCTGTTGCTCCGAGCAGGAGGAACCTGGCCCTAGATCTCGACACAAGGCTACTCACTTACTTGGCAGGCTTTCCAAAGGCCATGTTGTCCTCCTGTTGAGAGACAAGAGAAAGACGTCAGTGCAGACACTACAGTCAGTCTAATGACAACCCGGTCAGAGGCTCAAGGGCAGTGACTCGGGGGCGGCAGGGCCAGGACACGGCATGGCATCGTAGTGCCAGAGGCACTGCTCTGTGGGGAGGAGGCCGCACAACAGCCAGGGGCTCCTCTGGTGCTCTCCCGATGTGCTGGGGCAGTCTTGGATCTTTCACTGTGGGCCGGAGCTTTCCTTCATGCCCGGAACCTCAGCCCCCTGACCTCTCGATGCAGCAATGATGGCTTACACGGGACCTGGAGCGGGACACCTCAGAGCGGGACACCTCAGAGAGGGACCGAGGCTGCTGGACCCAGAACTTTCTTATGAAGGAGACTATGGAGAGTCCCAGACTCTGTATGCGGACACACGCACACCCTAGAAATCTAATTATATATACTGAGACAGGGTCTCTCAATGTAGAGAGAACTCTCGACAGAGACCAGGCTGTCCTTGAACTCACTATCTGTCTCCTGAGTACTGGAATTAAAGGCATGTGCTACTATGCCTGGATTTTGTTTTTTGAAGCAGGGTCCAACTCTATACCCAACACTAACCTGGAACTCACCATGTAACCCAGGCTGGCCTTAAACTCTGAGGAATCCTCCTGCCTCAGTTTCCCAATGCTGGGATTAGAGAGGCATCCACTATGCCTAGCTAGTAAAAGTATTACATTCACAGCAATAGACCTTGTCCGTTTGGACGGTTGTAACAACCATTAACGGAAACAGGCTATGCTATCACACCCCTTTGTCCTGCCTTTAGCTACCTGAAAATAGGCAAATGCCATGTGCTCATCTGGAAAGAGCCCACTGGATAGAGTTGGTCCATCCCCAGGAAGCAGATTTGAGAACACACTGGTTCAGTCTAAAAGCCCCACCCTGGAAACCATGTCAGCCTCCCCTGTCCCCCAACCATGGCTCCCACCTTCTGAAGGTCCAGAGATGTGGTTCCTGGATGGTCTGACTCCACTCTTGCCTCTAACCCCTACCCATGTCTTGGTACCCAGGGATGGGGGCAAAGGGCTGAGTCAGTTACTTAAGACTCCTCTGGCCACACTGCCCTCCTGGCCTGTCCTGGAGGCAAGAGAAGGAAAGGGGTCAAACACTGGTGAGGGGCAGGAGGCTAGAGCCGAGTTATCTGCGACGTCCCGGGCCCAGGCCAGCCTACGTGAGCCTGGAGACTCTCCAGGGCAGGGCAAAATGGGGACTCACCGAAACAAAATAGGGGCCAGCGAAGTCCCGAATGACCCCCGTGGATGTGCAGATGCCCATGTGGCCGATGATGGGGAAAAACCACCTGTAAGAAAAGAGCAGAGAAAGGACAGAGCGGGGTTAGGCAGATGCCAGGGAGCAGGTGACACTGCTTCATGGTGAGTCACCTTAGGGAGGTCCACAGTGGGATAGCCTGCGCCACCGCCAGAAGAGCTATCACTGACACAGGACACGAACACCAAGCACAGCAGAGACACAGAGCAGCAGGCCGTGGACTCTGCTGGGGAGATAAAAACACCTCCCTCGTGGGAAACTGTCGGCTCTGTAAGCTACGCCTCAGCAGCTCTGAGGACGTACAGACAGAAACAAGGCCTTGTGCCCCAAAACTGTGTACGAAAACACACCGAGTACCCCTTATGCTTGTTTAGCATAAACAAGGCCTTGGGTTTGAACCCCAGAACTGTGAAAAATAAAAATCCTCAACGAACTGTGCTCATAAAAATGTGTACCTCTTATTGGGGCTGAAAAAAATGGCTCAGTGGTGAAGAGCACTGGCTGCTCTTCTAGAGGACCCTGGTTCAAGTCCCAAACCCCACACGGCAGCTCACAACATCAGGCCTTTGTGAGCACCAGGCAGATGTGCTGCACAGATGTGCTGCACAGACGTGGATGCAAACAAAACATTCATACACATAAAATGAAGTGTATCTTTTGTTAATGTACATTATCTCAAAGTTAATTGTTTAAAATAAGGTAACAAAACCCAGCTGAGCTGAACATGGCTGGTGCACGCCTGTAATCCTAGCACTTGGGAGGCAGAGGCAGGCAGATCTCTGTGAGTTCAAGACTAGCCTTGTCTACATAGTGAGAGCTTGTCTCAAAAATCAATGGGACGGGCTGGAGAGATGGCTCAGCGGTTAAGAACACTGGTTGTTCTTCCAGAGGTCCTGAGTTCAATTCCCAGAAACCACATGGTGGCTCACAGCCATCTATAATGAGATCTGGTGCCCTCTTCTGACCTGCAGGCATATGTGCAGGCAGAACACTGTATACATAATAAAATAAATCTTAAAAAAAAAAAAAAAAAAAAAAAAAAAAAAAATCAATGGGACTGGAGAGATGCCTTAGCCATTAAGAATACTTGCTGTTCTCGCAGAAGACCTGGGTTCAGTTCCCAGCACCCACATGGTGGCTCCCACCTCCGTAACTCCAGTTCCACAGGATGTGACATCCTCTTCTGACCTCCATGGGCACCAGGCATGCATGCAGTGCACATATATACATGCAGAGAAAACAAAATGAAGCTCTTTAAAACCAAACCAAACTAACGCCCCCCTCCACACACCCGGAAATAAGTAAAATCAGCATAGCCTGGCCATGGTTCCATGTAACAATGAAAGACACATTTCCGCTACACACAACATACTCTCAAGAGTGTATGCCTGAAAGAAAGTCCGAGCCAAGCGTATGGAATACAGCACTGTTGAGTGTTCCAGAGAAGACCAAACCAATCTATGGCTATTGCACTGGGGCCAGCAAGACGTGGCTCAGCTGTGTGGGTGCCTGCCACCAGGCTAGATGCCCAAGTTTGCCTCCTGGGACTCCATAAAGCTGCCTGACCTCCACCTGTGTACTGTGACAAACTCCCTCCTGTATATATACACATATTAACAATAAAATGAAAAAGCTTTCCATGTTATTTTAAATTATGTGTATGTGCATGTGTCTGCATGTAGGTATGAATGGGGACCCACAAGTATAGGATCCCACCAGAGCTGGACTTACAGGGGCTGTCAGCCAATGGACACAGGGCTGGGAAGTACACTTGGGTTCTCTGTAACAGTACATGGCCTTAACGGCTGAACTGTCCACAAACAGGAAGGGAGGGAGGGAGGGAGGGAGGGAGGGAGGGAGGGAGGGAGGGAGGGGAGGAGGGAGGGAGGGAGGGAAGGCAGGCAGGCTGGCTTAAAAACTTAGTTGATTGTAAGCTTAAGAATTGTGCACCTAGCTGGGCGGTGGTGGCTCACGTCTTTAATCCCAGCACTCAGGAGGCAGAGCCAGGCGGATCTCTGTGAGCTCGAGGCCAGCCTGGTCTACAGCGCGAGATCCAGGAAAGGCGCAAAGCTACACAGAGAAACCCTGTCTCGAAAAACCAAAAAAAAAAAAAAAAAAAAAAAAAAAAAAAAAGAATTGTGCACCTTATAATATGTAAATAATACTTCAGTGAGGAGGTTTAAAATGGGGGGGGTCATCAGGGCTGGTAAGATGGCTCAGTGGGTAAAGTGCTTGATGTATAACTGAAGAGGGAGTGGAGAGCCGAGGGAGCAGAAGGGAGACCGTGTAGAGGCTGCTGCTGAAGTCGCAGCTCCAGACGACAGTCCTGACTAGATAATCGTAGATGATGGATTCAGACTGTAAAAGGAAGAGGGCTTTCTTTTTCTCCACGATTAATTTAATTATGGGTATCTGTGTGTGGTGGTATGGGACGTGAGTGCAGGTAGGTGCCCTTGGAGGCCAGAAGAGGGCATCTGACCCCTGGGAGCTGGAGTTATCAGCCCTTGTGAGTCACAGGATGTGGGTACTGGAACCTGAATCTAGGTCCTCCACAAGAGCAGTACTGGCTCTTGACCACTGAGCCCACTCTCCAGCTCTTCCCTAGACACTCAGAGTTCTAAGGCGTGCCTGGCAGGGCACACAGATCCAACCCCCTATGTGTTGTCAGTGGAACACTGACCAAATGACTCACATTTAGGAGTAGAGGGATGCAGCTGGGAAGGAGGAGCAATTTCAGAGTTCTGCAGACAGTACGGTCCCTATGACTGACAACTAACCGCAGACTTCAAGAGTCAGGAGAGAGTTTTCTGAATCTTCCCAACACAGAGAGATGATAGCTGAGGTAATGGAGGAACCATTTACCCTGAGCTGATCGGCCTAACTGTGTGCGTGCGTGCGTGCGTGCGTGCGTGCGTGTGTGTGTGTGTGTGTGTGTGTGTGTGTGGTGTACGTGCATGTGCCCTGGTGTGTGTGGAGGTCAGAGGACAACCATGCATGTTGCTTTGTCCTCTGCCCCAGGACAGGACCTCATTGCTGTGTACTCCAGACTAGCTTCCAGTGAACGTCTGGGGATTCCCTGTGTCTGCCATCTCACCACAGGAGCCCTGGGATTGCAGGCTCCTGTTTCCTACGCCTGCCTTTGGATGGTTCTGGGGATTTGAACTCAGGTCCTCGTGTCTGTGAGGCAAGCACTTTGCCCACCCATTTTAAAAATACATACTGAAGCCGGGCGCTGGTGGGGTATGACTTTAATTCCCGTACTCAGGAGGCAGAGGGAGGCGGATCTCTGTTCCAGGCCAGCCTGGTCAGACAGATCCAGTACAGCCAGGGCTACACAGAGAAACCCTGTCTCGAAAAACAAACAAACAAAAATACATACTGGCAGGCCACACTGTACCCTATATGTACATAAGATTACTCTACCTGACAATTAGAAAAAAAGAATGAAGTCAGCACTCGGGAGGCAGAGGCAGGTGGATCTCTGTGAATTCAAGGCCAGCCTGATCTACAGAGTGAGTTCTAGGGCAGGCAGGACTACACAGAGAGACCCTGTGTCAAAAGCCAAAAAAAAAGAGTGAAGTCAGATCTGACTGAACTTTTGAGCAGGCTATTTATTCCCATCTTCCTACAGAATAACAAGTACTTGGCTGAGGGGCCACTGCTTCCAATCTATGTAAAACGCTTCTCACATGTGGGGTGCTGAATGGTGCGCTCAGCTGGTCAGTGAACACCTGCCCCCTGACTGAAAGAGTAAGCAGCTGAAGATCCATGGTGAACACAGGACGGTAACCAAGAACTGTGGGAAACAGTTCCCCTGGCTCTCAGAACCCAACCCCAGACTCTTCCGGGACCAGATTTCTTTCAAGTGGCAGGGGACCCGGCTTTGAGCAGCACTCCCTGTCACGACTGTGCTGATGGCGATAGCACTGGGGACAGAGGTTGGAGAGACAACACTAAAGCTCTGTGCCCGGCAAAGCCCCAGGGAAGCAGCGCCCAATGCAAGCTTGTCAGCGCCCCAAGACAAGCTCCAGAGCTCAGCTAACTGCTGTGTCTTCTGACCTAGGACAAAATCGTCCTCAGGAAAGGTCAGTGAACGAGTTAGCTGCTCATCCTGGAGTTTTGTTTCTTTATCCCTCATCTACAGATGAGCAACAATACCTGCTTTCCTAGTTGATGTAAGGACTGGGTGGCATCAAACATGAACATGCTAACATCTCAGAAGAGATGGACAGGTCTTCGACTCAGTGTCTTCCTCTCACAGACTTGAAAGACCCCATGCCACATCTATCCCTATATTCAGCAATCTCACATAGCCATGTCATTACAAAGTCATCAGTATCTGTCCCTTCTGCTGAAGGGCGAGTCCTCCAATGGAAGCACAGAGTCTTAGAAACACCTGCACACACATCTGAAGAGAACTGAGATGTAAACTGCTTCTAGCCTCACCTCAAGTTGTCTCCACCTCAAATTGCTACCATTTCTCTGCAGAGGACCAGGCCACAAATAGTTCTAAAACTGAGGAGCTGGCCAGATGGTTCGGTGTGTAAAGGCACCTGTGTTTGATCCCAGGACTCACACGGCAAGATAGAACTAACTCCTGTAAGCTGTCCTCCGACCTCCATAGGTACTCATACACACATAAACAATTTTGTTTTTCGACACAGAGTTTCTCTGTGTAGCCCTGGCTGTCCTGGAACTTGCTCTGTAGACCAGGCTGGCCTTGAACTCACAGAGATCTGCCTGCCTCTGCCTCCCGAGTGCTGGGATTTAGGGCTTGTGACACCACCCAGTAGAAATAATTCTTTACAATGAAGAAATGAGGAAAAGGCCAACATGGCTAGCATGCCGAGTTTTCACACAACCAACCCACCGCCCGGGTCCCCTGCCACTCAACAGCAACAGCCCGTTCTCTTCACAGCTCTGCTCCACAGCTGGAGCTCATTCTCTTAGTTACCTGCTTATTCTCTACCTCTCCCATCAACTCAAGGGCAAGCAGCACCCCTGCCTTACTAGCCAGAGTATGGCTATTGGCTATATACCATACATCTAGGCCTTACTACCTACAACGACAAGGCCCAAGTCATTTAGCAAATGTGTTGGAGGTACATCTAATGAATTAACAAGCACATATTGTAAATTGTTTTGTTATTGTTCTTTTTTTTTCTTTTTTTTTTTCTTTTTAGTTTTGACTTTTGGATCCAGGGTCTCACTCTGGAACCCTAGGTTGGCCCGGACCTTGCTCTGTAGCCTAGGATGGCTTCAATACTCTCAGAGACCTTCCTACCTTAATCTCTCGGAGCGCTCTCAGATCAGAGGTGTGAGCCACAGTGCCTGGACTCAAGACGTTTTCTTTTACGGTTTATTTATATAAATGTTTTGCCTGCATGTATGTATGTGCACCACATGTCTGCCTGGTGCCCATCAGATCCCCCGGAACTGGAGTTACAGATGCCCGAGTACAACCATAAGGACACTGGGAATTCAACCCTGGCTTGCAAGAGCAACAAGTGCTCTTAACCAACGAGCCATTGATTCAGGCCCACTCCCACCTCGTTTTGGCTCTGCCTCCTGAGTGCTGGGATTACAGATATATATCACCATGCCCAGTGGGGCCCTTTGCTGTGGGATGTTCTGTATGGCAAATGTGTTGCTGATTAGTCATTAAATAAAACACTGATTGGCCATTGGCTAGGCAGGAAGTATAGGCGGGACAAGGAGGAGAATAAAGCTGGGAAGTGGAAGGCTGAGTCAGAGAGACACTGCCAGCCGCCACGATGAGAAACAGCATGTGAAGATGCCGGTAAGCCACGAGCCATGTGGCAAGGTATAGATTTATGGAAATGGATTAATTTAAGCTGTAAGAACAGTTAGCAAGAAGCCTGCCACGGCCATACAGTTTGAAACCAATATAAGTCTCTGTGTTTACTTGGTCGGGTTTGAGAGGCTGTGGGACTGGCAGGTGAGAGAGATTTGTTCTGACTGTGGGCCAGGCAGGAAAACTTAAGCTACAGCCCTTACTTTTGGAGACAGTATCTAGCTGGCCAGCAAGCCTCAGAGATCCTCTTATTTCCTCTTCCTCAGTTCTGGGACTACAGACAATGCACAGTTTCGTTAGTTTTTCACATGGGCGACAGGAATCACAGCAAGCAAGCACTTTACTGATTGAGTCCCTACCCAGACCCAAGAAGTTTAACATAACACAAAAATTAGGGTCATTAGCTGGATGGAGTGGTATAGACCTGTAGTCCCAGAACGCAGAAGCCCAAGGCAGGGGGATCAGGAGTTCAAAGTCAACATGGACTACACAATAAATACTAGGCCAGCCTGGGATACATATTGAGATCTTGTCTTAAAACCAATAAAATTAATACAAAACAAAAGATTAAAGCGATTTTAAGATCAGCAACATTTGAAGCTAAAAATTACTCCTTCTCCACACAATTTGGCTGGTTTTGTTTCAGATTGGGTCTCACTAGGCAGGTCTGGCTGGCATGGAATACCTGTCTTGTTCAGGCTGGCCTCCAACTCAGACATCTGGCTGCCTCTAACTCTGGGTGCTGGGATTAAAGGTATGGATCACCATGCCTGGTGGTTAGTTTTGATAGAGGAGAAAATATGTATCCCCTCAGGTGAGGGGTGCTAGGACACGGCTGAAAGACAAGTTACATAGCAAACTTGACTTCTGAATGTCTTCTTGCTGGGGCAGTGAACTGACTAAGACAATGTGATAAGGAACTCAGCTTCACCATGGGGGGAAACAATTCCTACTTTAGAAATGGAAAGAAACGGGAATGAAAGAGCTTGCAAACTGTCCGGGCTGTTAAGACTAAAGAAGGAGGGCAGTAAGCTGCATCTATGTACCTGATTTTGTTTTGCCACTCAGAAGATGTAGGGGGCAAATGTTGGTATGGACCTCCCAGTGCTGACATCCCACGAACCAGTGTGGCCTCAATCAAACTCACTTTTGCTTCTAAAGGCAAAACGTCCTGCGTATAGTAGATGACCAGGAAGCATTCATTTGCTCAATGAGTGAACAAAAAAAAAAAAAGGTGAATGAATGAACACACCTCTTCAGACAAGGTTAAAGGACTTTTCTGTACACCTGCAGCTTAAGGGCTCGCTAGTCACCTGGCCTTTCCCGCTGATCTACACTTGTCCTCCTCCCCAATTAGACTAGGGGTAACCATGATCGGTAGCATGCATGCAGCTGGAACGCGCACCGCACGGGTGGCGGGGTTCTAGGGACCGGGCGCCGGCCTGGCCCGGGGTAAGGGTTGCCCGAGTCTGAGAAAAAAGCTAGAACGGCACACCGGAGGACGCTCGGGCCCTCCCCGTCTTCGCGGCGACACCGGAAGACACTCACGTGAGCACCGGGATGGGAGTCCATACCACGCAGTAGGGGAAGCGGCTCCGCTCCACGTCCATGGCGACGCCACCGGACCCGTGGTACTGCTTCATGTCCGTCTCGGCCGCCGTCGGCGCTTCTACTTCCGCCATCCGAGGAGGGGGCGGCGGCGGCTGCGACAGGAGCGGAGAACTCCCTTCCGCTTCCGCCATGCTGCGCGCGGCCCTCTCGGCCAGGCCCAGCTCGGGAAGGCCTGGCTGCGGCGCCGCTCACCCCTGGATCGTCACTTCCGGGAGGTTAGGGGTCCACCTGGTTGGTCTTCCCTCCGGGAATTGAAGTCTCGTCCTTTCGTGCCCGGCCAGCCTAACCTCTTCCCCGCGCCTGGAGCGGAGCGTCTACACGGTCCTCAGGCAGCTCTCAGTCTAGCCCTGGGCAGACCCACAGCCAATCGCGGTTCGGTTCGCCGGCACGTGGTGCAGGCAGTATTCACCGAGCACTTCTTAGGTGCCTTCAAGCACTTGACATCCATTGTTACTACTTTCCATAAGCTGATTAGCCTAAATACAAATTTAGTTGTTTTCCTCAGGTTACAAATGAGGGACTGAGGCTTGATGAGGTGAGGGGTCGAGGTTCAAACACAAGTTTTTTGTTTGTTTGTTTGTTTTTTTCAAGACAAGGTTTCTCTGTGTAGCTTTGCGCCTTTCCCGGATCTCGCTCTGTAGACCAGGCTGGCCTCGAACTCACAATGATCCTCCTGCCTCTGCCTCCCGAGTGCTGGGATTAAAGGCGTGCGCCACCACCGCCCGGCCAAACACAAGTTTTTAGATTTCCTTTGTCCTTTTTATTCTGTGACGTGAGTTACAGATAATGTAAAGGAAGGTCAGACTAAAATCTTGGTGTGTGTACGTGAGAGAGACATACACAGCGCAGTGAGCAAGGGGGCAAGACGGTACTGATGTTTGCCTCGGGCCTGGGGAGGACACGATGCAGAGATGCAAAGACAGGAAAGCTGAGAGGGTCACTGTGTGCGGGAGAGAGAATATCATCCTGGCTCGAGTAAGTCACAGGACTTAGGTAGATAGATAGAACCTCCTTATTATTGTTTTGGGATGGTGTTTGGTTTTGTTTCGAAACTGGGTCTCACTAAGTAGCTCTAGCTGTCTTTGAATTTACTCTGTAGACCAGGCTATCCTCAAACTCTGCCTGACTTTGCCTCCCGAGTGCTGGGATTAAAGGGGTGTGCCACTACGCCAGATCCTTTTTTTTGTTTAATGGGAAAACCGAGGCCCTCAGCAGTTATCAGTTGCCCAAGATCACACCTGAGAACACAGAGTGGCCCGGCTCCAGTCTTGGAATCTTTTGGCTTTTAGAGGGATGCCCAGAGAGACAAGGAAGTGGAATGTGATGCAGTGGGAAGTGGGGGTTAGAACAAGAAGGGAACCAGGCTACAAGAAGGTGTAAGAAAAATGATGCAGAGAAGCAGACAGATAGTCTCAACAGGCTGAGACTGTCTTATTGGAACAGTGGGGCTGGAGGACAGGTATATATACACAGGAAGCTACCAGGAAGTTACAGCTCTTTTCTGCGGTTTGTCTGGGACCAGAGTGAGGTGTTTTCCATACCCAGGCATATTGTTTCTGCAGGTGGAGCAGACCTGACAGGTTAGGGGTAAGCAGTTCTTTCTGACTAGGGGCTATGGCCCAGTACGGCCAGACTCAAGTCCTCATGACCTAAGGCTATTAGCCAACAGAAGGTATGGGCAAGCACACTAAGGAAGGAGAAGCTGTGCCTTTGAGACGATCTTCCATTAAATTACCCTTCTTTAATGGAGACCTACGGAAAGCCTGCTCTCCTGATACATTTAAAAAAAAATTTATCTGTGCTGTGGAAAATCTAAATGTCTTTGACTACACTAGCTAACACAGTTCCCAGAACTGTGCACATACCTGTTGAATGCACACTAAATGTTCCTCGATTTAGATATCTTTTAAAGCTCTCACTGGGCCAGGTGAGGGTTTAATCCTTTAATTCCAGCACTCCGAGAGCAGAGGCAGGCAGATCTCTGCTAGTTGGAGGCCAGCCTGGTCTACAGAGCTAGTTCAGTCAAGGCTACACAAAGAAAAAAAAAATCTCACTGGTATCATAGCTGAAACTAATTCTAATCTGCTCAAATTCCTTTGAGCACTCTGTACCTCTTCATGAGTGACCCTGTGCGGTGTGAACTCTGTGCGGTGTGAACCCTGGAGGGAAGCCACCCCTCCAGCAGCGTTTCAAAGGGATTAAGTGCCCAGTACACAGTTGTCGAATGAGTTGTCACAGTAGTTTTGGACTCAGTCACAGCAGTTGTCTAACTTCTTCTGTGCCCCAGGTTTGCCAGGAAAGTGTGTGTCTCTGATAGTCCTTTACCAGCATTGATTTTATGTTTGAATGAGTAAACAACCAAAGTAAGTCTCGGGGTTCTGCCACAAAGCTGGCCGAACTAACAAAATGCCACATATAATCTGACAAGCTTCAGTAGCTTCCCATGGCTCTTAGTATAAGACACAAATATCTACCAGGTTTTTGTTGTTGCTGTTGTTTTTCCAAGCCAGGGTTTCTCTGTGTAGCTTTCGAGCCTGTCCTAGAATTAGCTCTGTAGAATAGGCTGGCTTCGAACTTACAGAGACCCGCCTGCCTCTGCCTCTAGAGTACTGGGAATAAAGGCGTGGGCTACCACTGCCCTCCTATATCTATCATGTTTACTTTACAAGGCTCTGCACCTTCCAGACCGTGTCTTATCTCTTACTTCTTCACTATTGATACCCTAACCTTTGACCCCTTCCTTCCATCATCCCTTCATGAGGAACATGGCCCACCCCCCACCCCTACCTTTAATATACCCCTCTACCCACTTACACTAACTTCCATTCATCCTTCCAGACTTAGAGGCAATGTCATTTTCTCAGCCAGCCAATTTTTGGCTTCCAGTGTGAATTAGAAAGTCCCTGTCACTTTCCTCTGGAACATGCTTTTCCACAGCACACGAACACCCACGTATTGTTTGCTTCCTCCACTGTGGAGGAATGGTTGTCTTCACTTCTGTAAACCCAGTGCCTAGTAGAGTGCTTAGTGGTTTTTTAACCAATATTCACTAAGCCAGATCTGTGACAAATACTTATAGGCTTGGCATAATATTTTGGTAACAGACTGTTTGAGCGAAGGGACCTAGCTTATCGTCTGCTACTTCTTGTGCTGTGAGCCCTTTTAAGACAGGTTCCTGGAGGCTGGTGGGCACAGCGTTTTAGTCCTATGCTCTGAGAGAGCCCTCGCTTTCTTCTTACAGCCTACATTACCCTCCCTTTGCCCTGGGTAGCTACAGAAGTCAGGACGCAAAGGTCATGTGGCTGGATAGCGAAGCCAGCTCTGACTCCTGTCGGGGGCCTCTCTCCCGGGCTTGGCTTCCACTACGAGCTATCCCAGGGCCCCTTCTCTCACACCATCACCTTGGTTCTCACCCAGAGCTCTCAGCTCCCTGGCCTGTGTCCTTGCCTCGCCTGCCTGTTTCCCTTTCCCCCCAGCCAGATGGATAATCTCCATCAAAGACTATCGCTGCCTTCCAGGCTCAGAGGATCACAGCAGGGCCTGGAAGAGGCTCCTCTTACACAGAGTTTGTTTGAGGATTGATGGGGTTCAGAGCCACCCCTCCCCCAACACATACACTACCCAAAATAGGAATGACCATCTGGATCCATTTATGGGGCTGTCTGGGGGAGGGGAGGATGGCAGAGTGGAATCTGTCACGCTGGTAAACCTTTGGCGGTAAGATGCTGCCCCTTGGAAGAGTGAGCTTAGGGTGCTCCCCATTTTGGAGGAGTCAGGACACTTCCTCAACCGACTCCATGTAGGACTCCCCAGGGCTCACAAACCTCCTCCCTCAGGGCATCTCACTCATTCTGGCATCCAAGGCTCTCCCTGGGCTGGTCCCAAATTTCCTTTCCAGGCTCATCTGTGTCCTTGCGATGTCGTGATGCTGGCCTCACTGTACCTCATGCCTCCTGTCTTTGCTCACTCTGTGCTTAATCAGGAATGCCCTTTCCCTCCTCCTCAGCACCACATTCAAGGTTTCAGGCTAATGCTTCTCCTATGCTTCCAGAGCATGAAGGCTGTTTCCACCTCCTGAATATTCATGTGTGCTTGCATTAGCATTAGCTGTTTACACGGCTGTCTCCCCCTGGAGACTGGAGACTCCTTGAGAAAGGGACTGACTGGATCTAATGGGCCCTATAGTCAGCGGGCAGAAAGGGGTTGCCCAGGGAGTACCCTAGGAGCTATTTGTTGACCATATATGGTCTCCTTTCTGGGGAAGATGCGTCTCAATCAGTAGACCTGCAAAGGTGAAGGAGCGCCCGCCCCGAGCCAGGGGCTGCCGTGGCTGCCAGTTGGAGGAGCCCCTAGGCTGGATGCTGGGTGTGGCACCCCAGGGGTAGTGTCTTTGTGGATCTGCAGTCTTCGGCTCAGCTCCATCATTACACTCTGCCTACTAGAGACTGGATAGGTTTCTCTCCCTCTCCTCCTCTCCCCCTCTTCCCCTCCCCATCTCTTCCCCTCTCCTCTCCCTCCTTTTTTTCAATCTTTCTGTCCCCATTAGGACTGTGAAACTTTCCGCAACTCAGAGAGGACTGAGGGGCCAATCATTTAATGCAAGAAGCCATTGGCAACTAAGCCCTGACTCTTTAGATATCAGAGCACAGCTTCCTATTGCCTCCTTTTATGGGTGAATTTACCCAAGCAAGGTTACAAACTGTACAGCTGGGGCCACAATCTAAGTCTCCCACTTTGGGACAGACAGTAAAGCATGAGGTAAAACATGTGGGCTTGAGACATGGCCAGCCTGTTTAAGGTCTAAAGCCTAGCTGTCAGGGGCTACTGAAGTAGCTGAAACAGGACATCAGTTTCCTCATACTGGAGTAGGAAACAGCTGGGTATGCAGTTCGTTTGGCACAGTGCTCTGGGAGCATATACAAGGCTCTGGGTTCCATCCCCGGCACTCCATAAAACTGGGCATGGAGCTGGGGGCGTGGCACAGGGCTTTAATCCCAGCACTCTGGAGGCAAAGGCAGGAGGATCTCTGTGAGTTTGAGGATAGCCTGGTCTACAGAGTGAGTTCCAGATAACTAGGATTACATAGAGCAGTGGCTCTCAACCTGTGACCCTTTAATTCAGTACCTCATGTTGTGGTGACCACCCCCAACCATAACATTATTTTTTTAATTATTTATTTCGGGTGCACTGGTGTTTTTGTCTGCATATATGTCCATATGAGGGTGTTGGATCCCCTGGAGCTGGAGTTGCAGACAGTTGTAAACTGCCATGTGAGTGCTGGGAATTGAACCCAGATCCTCTGGAAAAGCAACCAGTGTTCATAACCACT